TTCAAACCTATACCAGTTTACTTTTTGCTTTCCCGCTACTTCCTGAGTTCTGACCATTCACTGTTCTGTCCAAACATTTACATTAACAGTTTCAGCTGACATAATGCTTGCCATAATGCATGGAAAATGTGTAAGACTGATTCAACCATTTCATTAATTGCGTATCCGAAACAGGTTTTCATTGCTACAAACATTAGCCAGATTAATCCTTTTAAGTACTTTTACTGGAGGAAGTAAACAAATAATCACAAGTGATCATTTCAAACGAGATCTATTTCTCCATACACCACATGATCAATTTGAATTACAATCACAATTTTGCAACCGATCCAATTGTTTCATGTTTAATGCAAATCAGCTAAAACAAATTAATATCATAGAGAAAACAATAATTATTTGATGCATTCAATCATAATATGAAAAATTGTATTGTTACATACAGTATATGACAGCATTACTTTGCTGGTTTATAAGCACTAGATCTGCCTATTCTTGTAGTATATAAAAGAGCAGGTTATGCTAATACTCAATTATTACTTAGTACTGTATACTGTACCTCATTCATATATTTCAGGATTAGCTGTATGTACATTTACTGCTTCTGTTAAACCAAAATTATATGTGTTTAAACATTAGTGGCAATGAAGAGATATGAGACAGCAGCTTACAGTCTTCACAAAAAGAAAACACTGTAGGTGTGTGGGGTGTGTTATACTTTAACATTATCCCTTTAAGAAAATATCCCCCTAAACTAAAGTATAACTAAAGAAAAAACTTTTTTTGTTTTGGAGAGGGATTAGAACCCCCAACAGTTTTTATTGCTGTACCCCTATTAAGGAGATTCAACCTCTCTATTTGTCCTGTTTACCCGTATCTTTGAAAGTGAAAATAAAGAAAATCCCAAATTTTGAGTTGTCCCCAGAAAACTAACATAGAGGATATCTTCCAATGTGGACACTAGTTCTGGTGACATGGGGGTCCCCAAGGGATTCCCTTAAATTGCAGGGATTGCCTTTCACTTCTTGTTTTGCTTATGGGACAGGAAGTGAAGGGTAATATTTGAAATGGGACACAAAAAAATCACTAAATTTTGCTCTATTCAAAATTTAAAAAAAAAGTTTTGCCTATAGTTCTTCTTTAACTAGGTAATGCTTAGGTAAAATTACATAACTGTGATGTGCTTTATCGTCACTAGATGGCAACAGACTACCTCAATATCTTTCTGCAATGTTATCATGTACATTACAGACTGTATATACAGTATTCTAATTTTTAAAAACTCTAAAAAGTCAAAGTTGCCACTGTAAAGAATAATCACAACCTAAACTATGAGCAAAATCAAAAATGATTTGTTTGTGATGTGTTTGTTTATTGAAATGTCATTCTTTACATTTTTCACTTTAAATCACTGATTGTCTTTAAACTTATATATTTTTAGAAGTTGTGATCCATTTTTTAGCACAAATAATTGTGTGTACACACGTGTATATGGGTGCATGTTTACATACAGTATGTATAAAAAAAAAAACTTGAATGTTACTTTCACTCATTTATCCCTTCTTGTTATGTTGTAGCCCCCAGGGGCGATGTGTAGCCCCCAAAAAGTAATATTTTAAATAAAACTTTCCTTTCGACTATTGTGGTGCAGTGCTTTAATTTCAGATTCACATACTGACAGCTAATACAGCAGTCTTAATTTTTCAGGGCCCTCTTTCCCTATGTAACATAGATTATTTATTGATCCTTCCAATAAGTCTGTTATTTTTCAGATTCCTTTAACAGATCAGACCATCCAACAAAATTGGAAATTAAAGGATTGAGACAAACCATTTAACACTGACAGAGGTGCTGACAATGGCCAGCTTTTATTCCTTTATGTAATTATTCATAAAAAAAAAGTAGCACCACCCCCTTAGGAGGGGTGCCAATTAAATGGGTCCCCTGATAGTCCAGCACAGCCAGACAATAAGCATTCTCCACACAAGCTTGCATTCACAGTCAGAAATCAGTCCGTGAGCTCTTGTTTTGTTGTATACTGAGGGGGATTTAAAACTAGGATAGGGTAGGGGGGTATAGGATGCCCAAGGGAACTGTTAACTAGCAATCTGGTGGTTTTCCTGAGCAGGGAGTCGGGCTCCTGTCCCATAAGGTGAAAAGTCACTAGTAGGGGGCTAATCTGGTTTCCCACAAGAGTGCTCCTTCCCCTATCTGCCCAGGGGGTGCAGGTGTATTCACTCAAAACCTTTCCTGTACTGTACTGCTGCTGCTACCAGGGCTATCAGCTGGGCTGCTCCTTCCCTGCCATACAGGTGGTCCTCGCTCTCGGGGCCAGTGAGTTACGAGTTTTCTTTCTTTCCAGCTCCGGGTTCGCAGGCAGGCCTCATCCCACTAGGCCTCCTTTTAGCTTTCCTCCTCCAGCCTTACATCTTCCTCTCCTTCGTCCACCTGACTCCACACTCTTCCTACTGAGCAGGTGTCAAGCCCCTTGCCAACCTCTTTTTGGGAATTGGCTAGAACCTCTCAAGAGTGAAACCAGCCACTACTCAGATCCACCCACTGCCTCTAAGGCCTTCCTCCAAGAGCCTCAGAGCAGGGGGAAATTCCAGAGGGGCTGGCCTGCAGAGACTCTCAGCCCTGACCACAATTTGACCCCTCTGGCTATTACATGTGAGCTGCTACTGACTAACCATTGGATCTAGCTCCCCTAGCTAAACTAGGAGGGCGCTACTAAAAAAAAACTGTTTCTGTAACTGCCTGGGTGTCAGAAACAAATGAGTACTGTCCATGATACTTTTTTTTAAATTTGCACTAACATGCGATTTTCAGGACAAGCTTTCGGGGTATGTCCCCTTCTTCAAGGTCCAAGCAGTACTACTTCACAAAGTTTTAGCAGAATGTTAAAAGAAACAATCTCAGGGAAAACAAAAACACACACAAACAAATCTACACAGCAATGGTTATAAAACTAGGATTAAATTTAACTAGAGATAAAACAGAGCAAAAGCAAAGACTGGGAGGGGGGGAGGGTTGTAAAACTGCTGAATAATGAATGAGCAAACCCATATCTAAATTAAGGCCATTATCGTTTGTATCATATAGCAATATCATTCTTAGTTCAAAAGTTTTCCTTTCCTGAATATTTTTTAAATTCTCTTTAAGAACTAAGATATTGAGGTCTTCCATAGTGTGGTCTTGATTGTGAGAAATGGTGTCCCACAGGTGTGCAGAAGTCATCTTCTTCTTTTTTATGTTCATTGATGGTATGTCATCCTTATTTTCAAGTTCTGTCCTGTTTCGCCAACGTAAGATCCTTTGCTACATTTCTTTCACTAGATAAGGTACACAACATTACTGGTGGTGCAGCTGTATGATCCGTGATATTGAAGGTCCCTTTTGAGTGTCTGACACTTTTTGATGGATTCATTTGGTTGCACAGTTTGCAGCATTTTTTATTGCAGGGTTTGCTTCCATTATTTGTGACATCATAATCAGAAGGAAGTCTCGTACTGATAAGTTTATGTCTGAGGATGGGAGGTTATCTGAAAGCCAGTATTGGGGGTTGCTGGAATATTTCTTTCAGAGTTCCATCCTCTGTTATGATGTAACTGCGTAAATATTGTTAGCTGGAATTAGGTTTTAATTTGTTGGTCACTTATATAGAGGCCATTTTTATCTACTAGTCCATCTAACATTACCCTCTGTACAGGTTGACAATGCTGCTGTCCATGGGTGGCTTCATTGCTTCTCCATAGATAAAGAAGAGAAGTGAGTGTAGCTACCCCCAGACAAGAAGTGTGTTACTGGTCAGACACCAGGTGGAAATAAAGGAAAAGGGCAAAAAAAAAGAATGCAGTCACCACATTAAGGGCTCATTTACACTTGCTTCGACTTCAACACACAATAGACCACCTAACACTTCAACATGCTTTTTTGCTGTGTTTTTGATGCATTGGTAATGCTTCAGTGATGCTTTGGTGATGCTTTTCTGAAGCTTTAATGAAGCTTGGCAGATGCCTTGTGTGTGTGTGTGTTGAATCTCATATCTAGGGTTGCCACCTCATCCCCTTAACCCAAACACATAATAATTACATAGGTTCTGTGGCTGGGCTGATTAAGGTGGTAATTAAACTCACTTAGTGCCTTATCTGAATTAAATTAGCCTCAGAACCTGTGTAATTAATATGTGTTTGGGTTTTAAAGGGATGAGGTGGCAACCCTACTCATACCTTCAATACCACCAAAACAGAGCGACGCTAAAGCTGAGTAAAAGCCTCTCAAAAGCTGCAGGTGCTGCTAGCTAGCTTTGTCATAGACTTTTGTGGAGGCTTTGAAGATGCTTTGATGCACCATGAAAGCAACATGGGGTATAATTTTCGAAACGAAGAAAACACAACGTGTGAACAGTACTGTAAGCCAACCATTTCATTTAGTGACAAAGGCTTTGATTGGCATTCAGAGTGCTTTGAAAAAGCGTTTCCAATGCCACATTTTAAAGCAAGTGTAAAAGCCCTAAGCCTTTTTAAAGCACTCTGAATGCCAATCAAAGCCCCGTCACTAAATAAAATAAGCTTACAAGTCCTGTTCACACATTGTGTTTGCTTTGCTTCGCTTTGAGAATTATACCCCCGTCACTTTCATGGTTCTTCAATGCTTCTTCAAAGCCTCCATAGAAGTGTATGACAAAGCTTGCTTACAGCACTTGCAGCTTTTGAGAGAGTTTTATTCAGCTCTAGCTTTGCTTTGATTTGGAGGTATTGCAGGTAGGAGATAACCCAGGATGCACTGGGAAAGCAACAAGCAAACCGGAAAGACATCAGCAGTCACTTACTGTTCAAGTGTATATATTCTGGAAGTGACTGGTGCAGACATCACATCTGGTGTGCAGATTGGAGCATCAGTAAGGTGAGCACATTTGGTGTGCAACATGGGAATGCTATTGCGGAAGGTAAGCAGGGACCAGAGAGAGAGGAGGATCAGCAAACCAAAGGATTGGCAGAGCTGGGGGTTACTACTGAGCAGGGGCGGACTGACCATTTGAGCACTCGGGCACTGCCCGAGGGCCCGGGGTCAGTAGGGGGCCCCATGAAATGCCCCTGGTACCTTTTTATAGCCTTTTTTGGGTGTGCTTTGAGTGTGGGCAAGGACACAGGGGCCCCATGCCCGGGGGCCCCATGAGTTGTCAGTCCACTCCTGCTACTGAGTGGGGGATCAGCAAAGTTGGAGGTTACTACTGAGCAGAGGATCAGCAGAGCTGGGGATACTAGTGAGTGGGGCATCAGCAGAGCTGGTAGTACTACTGAGCAGGGAATCTGCTGAACGAGGGAACTAGTATGCTGAGAATCTGCTGAAAGAGGGTGCTTAATGAGCTGGGGATCTGCAGAACAGGGGTAGTAATTAACTGGGGATCTGCTGAATGGGGGTACCACTGAATTGGGGTTCTACTGAGCCCTTTTAACAAGGCTTTAGTCAAAGTAATGACTAAGTACGTGTTCGTCTACTGCTCCTCTGTCCTGTCTTGGAGCTGTCATGTTATTATCATATTGCATGTAAAGGATTCCAATAAAGGGTTTTATCCACCACATTGCTGTTTGTGCGGCCAACCATTCTGTTTTTATTGCATCTGTGATCACGGATCGAGCCAACACCTGCGTGTCTGTGAAGGGGTTATGCAGATTCGGCACTCACCTGAAGCGGATCGTTTGCTCTTTCCTATGTGCCTGGCTGCAGGGCAAAGCTTTTAGGGAAGACTTGGACAGTATTCCAGTGGCTCCTACAGGAGTAGTGTTTACACACATATAGACACTGTATCGCAAACAAGTAAATCTGGAACCTCAGTGGTATGCAGAAGTAAGTAGATATTGGTATTGTATCGTCTTGCCTGGCTGGACATATTGTGCACCTACCCAACCACATCATACCCCAAATTATATGCTGGATTCTGCTACTTAGAAGAAAACAGAAACAAGAAAGATCACTAAAAACCTGGTGGTCCACCATTAAAACAGACCTCAAAGTCATTGAGGTCCCATGGGATGAGGCCGAATTGGCCACAGCTCACAAAATTCAGTGGATAGTACTTACTGCCCAATGTGCCAAATTGTTCCGGATGAATTTAGTCTAAGCAAGTTTAAGAAAGTAAAAGTTAGTTTGCATTAGAACTTTCAGGACAAAACAGTAGTTGGATGGCTGAGGAATAGAAGGCTGAGTGTTTTAAAGTGTGTGAACAGGCAGGCTGCTCTATTCTTCGGTCTTGTCATATATTTCAAATCCCTTTCTTAGTTTAATTTGAAGACACGGTCACGAATTTAAAAAAAAAAAATTCAGGCATAGGAAAAAATCCTTTAAAAACTCTGTAATAAAGTTATTATTGCTGTCTTTGTCTCCATTGGTGATATTTACCTCTAGAATTTTACTGGTGGAAGTGAGGGGAAATCCAAAATGCTAAAGTTGTCACCAGAAGAAGTGAGGAAAGAGAAAGTAACTCTTTAATTGAGGACACCTGTTTTGATGACAGCTGTCTAAGACTATCACATGCCTGGTTAGGGACCAAAGTGACAAAAGGGCTTCCCTTAAACTTCTGGTCCAAACGCCCCTGAAATGCAACGCATGGAGTGAGAGGGCACAGTGTGGTACAGATTCCAGAATGCTAGTCCATAGAGACTTCCTTTTTAAGGCAGACTTTGCCGAGAGATGCTAGTGTAGGCTGGCAGGAAGGCAGCTGGCTGAAGCAGTTGAACACACAGAAGGCTGAGAGCATAGTTTGGACTGGTGGTGGTCTGCAGCTGAGAAAACAGATGGCAAGCAGGCAGAAGCATGGTCAGGAGACAAGGCGATGTCATATGAGAGGATTAGCAGTAGTGAGCCGTAGTCAGGATCTAGCCAAGGTCAAAACTAGGAAGCAACAGGAACTAACCATGGTCAGGAACTATCTAAAGTCAAGGCAGTAATCATCTGGAACAAGCCGTGGTTAGGGACTAGCCGAGGTACAGCTGAGAATCAGCAGGAACAAGCGGTGGCCAGGAACAAACTGAGGTCAGTAGGAGGAAGGTAAAACAGAGACAAGTCCAAGGACAGGCTGGGTCAATAGCAGGTTCAGGTCGCAGGGAAACAGCTGAAAATCACCCAACAACTTGCTAGGTCAGCTCTGGCCAGGACCTTGCATTCACTATAACTGGTTTCCCACAGTACACAGAACATAAAAATGCAATTATTTTAGTAAATATAAACTGCTAAATACCTTTTTCTCATTAGCAGTTAGAGCAGTCTTGCGACTTCTATCAGTGTTCAGCAGAGAACTGGTTAAAGCTTGTAGGAGGAGTTTTCTTTCTGCTTTAGAAGGATGCAAACCCCCTGACCTCTGTGTGGAGAGCGTTGATTGGCCCTGTGCTGATCACATGCACTCTCTCAAGAAAAAAAAACCTCTCAAGCAATACACACCAAACTGAGAATGTACAGAATGGCTACGGGTTCAGTCTGTCTTACCAGGAGATAAGACATGGACATTTGAACAAGAGGAGGAGCAGAGAAGACAGGATAAAATGACATTTTTATACAATGCAGAGGATTAACCCCTTAGGTTCCACAGTGAGTATAACAAGCATGCTTTGATCGGACATTTGAACAAGAGGAGGAGCAGAGAAGACAGGATCAAATGGCGTTTTTACACAATGCAGAGGATTAACCCCTTAGGTTCCACATGAGTATAACAAGCATGCTTTATTACATATACAGGCTGATTTTACTGTTGTGGATTTAGCAGCACTTTAAAATAGAACTAAGGATAAAACCTTTATTTTATTTTGGATAAGGGAGAGTTATAACTAGAGATGAGCGAATCGAACCAGGCGAAGTGGAATTCGATTCGAATTTCAGGAAAAATTCGATTCGCGTCGAATCCGAATATTAGCCTACTTCGGGTGCGCGAATCGGATTTTTCCCGATCAGCCGGCAAAAGTGTCCCTGCAGAGAGCTCCGCTATTTCTGACAGTTCTCTGACAGTTCCTTCACATGTACAGCGGTTGAAACATTGTATCTATTTGTTTCCATTTAGGATACAGATGTTTTTATTCGGAAACAGATACAATGTTTCAACCGCTGTAAATGTGAAAGTCAGAGAACTGTCAGAAATAGAGGAACTCTGCAGATACACTTTTTGCCGGTTTGGAATTATTCTTATTTTCATCCTACTTCTTCTTCTTCTTCTTCTTCATCCTCATCCTCAGAAGAAGAAGAAGAGGATGAGGATGAGGATGAAGAAGAAGAAGAAGAAGAAGTAGGATGAAAATAAGAAGAATTCCAAGCCGGCAAAAAGTGTATCTGCAGAGCTCCTCTAAGTGTATCTGCAGAATAGAGGAGCTCTGCAGATACACTTTTTGCCGGCTTGGAATTCTTCTTATTTTCATCCTACTTCTTCTTCTTCTTCTTCTTCCTCTTCATCCTCATCCTCATCCTCTTCTTCTTCTTCTGAGGATGAGGATGAAGAAGAAGAAGAAGAAGAAGAAGTAGGATGAAAATAAGAAGAATTCCAAGCCGGCAAAAAGTGTATCTGCAGAGCTCCTCTATTCTGCAGATACACTTAGAGGAGCTCTGCAGATACACTTTTTGCCGGCTTGGAATTCTTCTTATTTTCATCCTACTTCTTCTTCTTCTTCTTTCTTCATCCTCATCCTCAGAAGAAGAAGAAGAGGATGAGGATGATGAGGATGAAGAAGAAGAATTCCAAGCCGGCAAAAAGTGTATCTGCAGAGCTCCTCTAAGTGTATCTGCAGAATAGAGGAGCTCTGCAGATACACTTTTTGCCGGCTTGGAATTCTTCTTATTTTCATCCTACTTCTTTCTTCTTCTTCTTCTTCTTCCTCTTCATCCTCATCCTCTTCTTCTTCTTCTGAGGATGAGGATGAAGAAGAAGAAGAAGAAGTAGGATGAAAATAAGAAGAATTCCAAGCCTGGCAAAAAGTGTATCTGCAGAGCTCCTCTAAGTGTATCTGCAGAATAGAGGAGCTCTGCAGATACACTTTTTGCCGGCTTGGAATTCTTCTTATTTTCACTGCAGATACACTTAGAGGAGCTCTGCAGATACACTTTTTGCCGGCTTGGAATTCTTCTTATTTTCATCCTACTTCTTCTTCTTCTTCTTCTTCATCCTCATCCTCAGAAGAAGAAGAAGAGGATGAGGATGAGGATGAAGAAGAAGAAGAAGAAGAAGAAGAAGAAAGTAGGATGAAAATAAGAAGAATTCCTCATCCTTCTCCTTCTTCTCATCCTTCTCCTTCTCCTTCTTCTCATCCTTCTCCTTCTTCTCATCCTTCTCCTTCTCCTTCTTCTCATCCTTCTCCTTCTCCTTCTTCTCATCCTTCTCCTTCTCCTTCTTCTCATCCTTCTCCTTCTTCTCATCCTTCTCCTTCTCCTTCTTCTCATCCTTCTCCATCTTCTCATCCTTCTCCTTCTCCTTCTTCTCATCCTTCTCCTTCTTCTCATCCTTCTCCTTCTTCTCATCCTTCTTCTCATCCTTCTCCTTCTTCTCATCCTTCTTCTCATCCTTCTCCTTCTTCTCATCCTTCTTCTTCTCATCCTTCTCCTTCTTCTCATCCTTCTTCTCATCCTTCTCCTTCTTCTCATCCTTCTTCTCATCCTTCTCCTTCTTCTCATCCTTCTCCTTCTTCTCATCCTTCTCCTTCTCCTTCTTCTCATCCTTCTCCTTCTCCTTCTTCTCATCCTTCTCCTTCTCCTTCTTCTCATCCTCTTCTCCTTCTTCTCATCCTTCTCCTTCTTCTCATCCTTCTCCTTCTTCTCATCCTTCTCCTTCTCCTTCTTCTCATCCTTCTCCTTCTCCATCTTCTCATCCTTCTCCTTCTCCTTCTTCTCATCCTTCTCCTTCTTCTCATCCTTCTCCTTCTTCTCATCCTTCTCCTTCTCCTTCTTCTCATCCTTCTCCTTCTTCTCATCCTTCTCCTTCTCCTTCTTCTCATCCTTCTCCTTCTCCTTCTTCTCATCCTTCTCCTTCTTCTCATCCTTCTCCTTCTCCTTCCTCATCTCCAAGGGCATTTAAATTAAAGGTACAGTGTTCTGCACTAATTTAAAGGCTCTCTGAAGCCTAGAAACCCTTTTAATAAGTTAAATTCGTAGCAAATTAATTCGCATCGAATCGAATTTCTTCCTCAAATTCGGCGAATCATCCGAATCAAATTTTTGAATAATTCGCTCATCTCTAGTTATAACCCCTGTAAGTTTTTCTTTTGCAATCTGTCCCATTGTGGAGATTTGGCTAGAGAACAGGAAGTCAAGGGAAAACAGTAAGTGAAAGGATATCTCTTTAAAGTGAAGGAATCACCAGGACAGCCAAAATTAGTGTCTCCATTGGAAGATGTCCCCACTATAATGGTAAACAGGACTAATACAGAGGGTGAATTCTCCCTAATAGGGGCACAAACAGCAACCAAAATGTGACAGGTGTTCTAAGCACTCTTTGCTTCATCACAAACTAAAGAAAAAGTTTAGCATTTAGTTATACTTTAACTGTATCTGAACACCACAAATTGAACCATTGTTTAATCCATTATTAATATTTACATCAGCCTCATCCGTCCATCCATGTCTCCATGCTTTATTTTCTTGAGAAATCACTTTTAAAAATACCCCCTAGCATTTCTAGCCACAGCCATCTTGTGTACAGGCAGATACTTCATGTAGCATGTACTTCCTGGAATCCATTTGTATTTAATTCAGGCATTCAGGTAAGAGGGCATGCTTAGCTGATGTGGCACAGCGAGGCCATACCACTGTATGATAAGACAATCTGGGCCGGGTTTGGGAGAAAACTAGCCCACTAATGGCACAGGTGTGTGCAGGGGCGGACTGACAACTCATGGGGGCCCCCGGGCAATAGGGGATCATGGGGCCCCTGTGTCCTGTGTTTACCCCACACCCAAAAAAGCCTATGAAAAAGCCAATGAAAGGTACCAGGGGCATCTCATGGGGCCCCCTACTGACCCCAGGCCCTCGGGCACTGCCCGAGTGCTCGAATGGTCAGTCCGCCCCTGGGTGTGTGTGCTGTTCTTTTACACCCTGATCCCGTCTTTGAAATCGTGCGACTTACACTGAAGTCGCAGGTTTTCAAAGTTGGATGACATGCCGATTTGAGGTGCGATTTGCAAGATATCTGACACAGATGTCTATGCAAATCACACCAAAAGTAGTACATGCACTACTTTGCAAATCGGTGCGGCTCCAACCAAGTCGGAACCACACCAATATGACCGTTGTAATTGTGGACAATAGGGAGCGACTTGCCATGCAATTTGCAAGTCATATGGCATGCAAAACGCATGCCAAGTCGCACCCAGTGTGACCGGGGACTTAAGAAAGATAGGATCAGAAGTCTTTGCCCCACCATCCTGAAGGGGTCAGTGGTTGTAAGGGAGAAAGAAGCAGAGAGACAGGGCCTCACCCATGGATCAGAGGTGCCCCAAACCAGAGGCCCGAGTCTGAGAGAAAGCCTATGAGAGACGGAAAAGCTGGGAGCTGTAAAGGAAAGACGCAGAGCTGAGAGAAGTACTAGCACTGGGAACTGGATGGTCTGGAAGTCCAAGCCATGAGACCTGAGCTGCAGGTCTGATAAAGAGAGCCAGGAGGCTTGAATGTTGTATTGACGGTGAGAACCCCCTGCATGGGAATATATTTTTTGTCAACTTTTGTTTCTTTTAAATAAAAGCGGGCAGGAAAAGCCCTGAAATGTACTTCTGGTGCATAAATGCATCTACCATGAGAGCTAACAACCACGTCACACTGAGAAAACCTCTCCTCCCCTCCTACAGTTGAAAGAAAACAAGGATCCCTGAATTTATGACATCATTTTGACCTAGACCAAAAACCGGGAATCAAGTGAAGAAATATAAAAAAAAAAAAAAAGTTTGAAGCAAGAAAATATAATAAACCTTCCTATCTAATGATTTGGGCTGCTTTCACACTGCAGAGTTTTTTAAAGTGCTTTTGCGTTAAAAAAAGTGCCTGAAAAGCTCAACAAAAATGCTTCCCTTCAAATTCTATGTATGTTTTCACATTGGGGTGGTGAGCATCTGTTGCGGTTTAACAAAATCCTGCTTGCAGCATTTTTGGAGCATGTTTATTCAGTTAAAAAAATGCACCAAAAATGCTTCTTCCCATTGAAATCAATGGAAAACGCCTCAAGAATGCAGTTTTTGAGTCACGTCCTTTAAAAAACGCACCACATGTGCAGCAAAAAGCGGGGTAAACATTCTGCAAAAATACATATGAAAGTGCCTTAAGGCTAGTGCATGTCTGCATGAGTTAACCGCTTCCCAAACGCGCTCTAGCCGAAAGATGGCTACAGCACGGTTGTCCAGTTCTGGGAGGGTGTCCACGGACGTCCTACCAGAATGCCCCCCCCTCCCTGTGCGCCCTCAGCAGCACACACCCAGCGCTGTTGGTGATCGCTGTGTCCTAAGAACACAGCTGATCATGTGATAAGGTAAAAGGCCAATCACAGCAGCCTTTTACCACGTGATCAGCTGTGTCCAATGACACAGCCGATGACAAAGTAAATACAGTTGCCGATATCGGCAGCACTTTCCTCACACTGTCACAGCGTGAGGAAAGTACTGCTGATAAGCGGCAAATGTGACAGGGGAGATCTGCATTGATAATCAAAGCATTGATTATCAGTGCTGCCCAGCAATACCGCCCAGCAGTGCCACCTATCAGTGCCACCTTTCATTGCCCATCAGTGCCACCCATCCGTGCCCAGCAGTGTTGCCAGTCAATGCCATCTGCCAGTGCCTCCAGTCAGTGCTATCAGCCAGTGCCACCCATCAGTGCTGCCTATCAGTGCCCATCAGTGCTGCATATCAGTGCATCATCAGTACCTCCTCATCAATGCCCACCAGTGCCGCCTCATCAGCACTGCCTCATCAGTGCTCATCAGTGCTACCTATCAGTGCCCATCAGTGCTGCCTATCAGTGCCCATCAGTGCTGCCTATCAGTGCCCATCAGTGCTGCATATCAGTGCATCATCAGTGCCTCCTCATCAATGCCCACCAGTGCCGCCTCATCAGCACTGCCTCATCAGTGCTCATCAGTGCTACCTATCAGTGCCACCTCATCAGTGCCCAGCAGTGCTGCCTATCAGTGCCCATCAGTGCTGCCTATCAGTGCCCATCAGTGCCACCTCATCAGTGCCCATCAGTGCTGCCTATCAGTGCAGTCTCATCAATGCACATCAGTGAAGGAGAATAATTACTTGTTTGCAAAATGTTATAATCGATACAAAGAAAACCTGTTTTGTTTATAGTTTTTTTTGCTCTTTTTTTGTTTATATTGCGAACAATAAAAAACCCCCATGGAGAGTAAATACCACCAAAAGAAATCTCTATTGTGCGAAAACAATCATAAAAATTTCATATGGTACAGTGTTGCATGACAGTGAAATTGCCATTCAAAGTGCAACAGCACTGAAAGCTGAAAATTGGCCTGGGAAGGAAGGGGGTGAAAGTGCCCAGTAGGCAAGTGGTTAACATACACATTTGAATTAGCATTCACAAGTAACTGACCAGCAAAAATCCTTGTTGTGTGTGTTGACGCATGTGCACCTCTCCTGATGAAGCTATCCTAATAAAGAGGTAAATTCTCCTCACTTTGCAAGTTTTCCTTGTAACTTTCTTTTGCGTCTTCAGGACAGAAAGTGAAAAGAAATCTCCCCAACAGTACACAGACAGTGTATTCAAACCATGACAGATAGATTAGATTAGATAGACAGATAGACGGATAGATAGAAAGATAGCTAGATAGATATATAGAAGATAGATAGATAGATAGATAGATAGATAGATAGATAGATAGATAGATAGATAGATAGATACATAGATAGATAGACATAGATAGATAGATACATAGATAGATAGATAGATACATAGATAGAGATAGATAGATAGATAGATAGATAGATAGATAGATAGATAGATAGATAGATAGATAGATGCTCCTGATATCCAGAAAACACATATATCCATCGTATGAGATCAGGAGCGGACTGACAACTCATGGGGCCCCAGGGCAATAGGGGATCATGGGGCCCCTGTGTCCTTGCCTAAACTCAAAAAAGCCTATGAAAAAGGTACCAGGGGCATCTCATGGGGCCCCCTACTGACCTCGGGCCCTCAGGCAGTGCCCGAGTTTCCAAATGGTCAGTCCGCCCCTGTATGAGATATATATGTAGCACTGGGCTGGACTCATTTTTGCCCAGCAGTACTGACAAACTAAACACAGAAAGGACTTTTTCTTTCTCTTCTCTCCTGTGATGGACAGCTTCAAGGAAAGAGGGGGTTTGACTATGTCATGATTGGCTGTTGGTACAGCTGAAGAGGACCTGCAACTAGCAACCCTGGGACAGAAGGACTTCTGATTGGCTGCCCGAGTACGGCTGACTCTCAATTGGCTGTGGGACATTTTTAACCCCACCACCACTGGGGAAACAGATGATCTATGTGGGATCTGATTAGAGGGCACTGGGACCCATTTAGAGAGCCCAGGGACAACTAGGAGAACAGGAGTGCCTGGCAAGTTCAATATATGCTTGGGAAGTGTTCAGTGAGTAGGGAAACAGAATTGAGAACTTTCTGTGACTGCTATTACCAGGAGCGGACTGACAACTCATGGGGCCCCCAGGCAATAGGGGATCATGGGGCCCCTGTGTCCTTGCCCCAAACTCAAAACACTTATGAAAAAGGTACCAAGGACATCTCATGGGGCCCCCTACTGACCCCAGGTCCTCGGGCAGTGCCCGAGTTTCCAAATGGTCAGTCCGCCCCTGGCTATTACAGAGCCTGGGAACTGAACTGTGCTGCATGTGCCCAGAGAGTGTTAGCCTGAAAGCTTGTGTTACAGGGCTCAGGGCTGCAAGAAGCCATAGGACAGTTTGTGAGATGCTGACCACGTGCTACTGTCAGAGGATCTGTTCTAACAGAAAAAGTGTGCTGCACCTGAATCACATGCATAACTGTGTGTAGGGACCAGGCTTTGGACTGCTGCTATGCTGAGCTTACCTGTCTGCAGTGAGGGAGGAGAGACTGTGCTGCCATTCCAATGCATTCAGGTTGCCCACAGTGACCATGAATTCCAACTACCTGCTAAAGCTGCAGAGATTGACTTGAAAGGAAGGACTCTTTCGCCAGCCACCTAGGGACCAAAATCAGTCATCAGTGGTGAGAGGCTCCCAACCACCATGTTGTCTACTTTACTGACAAGGTATAGTTTACTTTCACCAAAGAACTTTGCCTATGCAGGTAAGGGGCATATGTGGATAAAAACAAACTGTGTGTCTGTAACTAAAGTTGAATAATGTCCTTGCTGTAAGTGTAGGCCATTTACGTACCTCATGAAGCCTGACTGGAATACTCCAAGGATGTTGCTAAGTACTTACAGAATTTTGCTAAGTGAGGCCTAGTCATTTATTGCTCACCCCCACCATCACAGGAGTGAGTTTTTTTCTCTGATTCAGACCCCCTCCCATGCGATTTCTCTCCCCTGATGCAGTAGCTCTGAGCTCAGCGTCTGAAAGCTCACTCCTGCGATGGTGAAGGTGAGAAATAATGACTAGGCCTCATATTGCAACGTCCTGGGTGTAATCCAGTCAGGCTTAGGTAAATGGCCTACACCTATACCAAGGGTATTATTCAACTTTAGTCAGAGCTGCACAGTTTGTCAAAGTTTATTGATTAGTCCACTTTAAAGTGGTTCTAAAGTAAAACGTTTTTTACCTTAATGCATTCCCTGCACGTTTACCTGTGTCCTCTCTCTACTGCTGTGTCCAGCTACGTCTTTCTAGACTCACAGGAGCTTCAGGCAGCAGCGTGAGCCATTGGCTTCTGCTGCTGTGCTCTGAGGAGGTATCATGGGTGTGGAGTTATACAGATAGCAGCATGAATATTGATACAGACCTGGTCTATCCCTCTGATGGCATGCTGTGTCCTGTGAACACACTGGGCTCTGGGTCTCTTTCTGTTTAGGATTGGTCCAGCCTGGAGGCGGCATGCTGCCCTCCCAGGCGATGCTGCATCATCTGCTGTAGACCTCAGGTGGGCTACTTGAGAGCCTGAATGCTGAGACCTGGGTTCTGCTAGAGCTGACAGAGGGGCTGTCTACTGAAAATCTGGTCTGGTATCATGGAGAAAGGCACCCATCTGTCCTTGGGCCTTGTGAATACAGACATCTCTGAAAGGATCTTATAGACATTGTGCTGTTCCTTATGACTGCCATTTCTTAATTACATTCCGAACAGAGGATATTGACATCTGAAAACGCTTTGCTATCTTCTTATAGCCTTCTCCAGCTTTTTGAGCGTCAACTATTTTCAGTTTCAGTTTTCTAGACAACTGCTTAGAAGAACCCATGGTGCTGATTGTTGGGGCAAGGTCAGATGAGTCTGGGCATTTAAAACCTTTGAGAATGACATCACCTGGTCTTCCCAGACGATGATTGAGAACAATCCATGACACTGGCAGGTCTCAGCTTGGCAAAGGGGGCAGTGCATGCTATAAACTTTGCAGGGTGCTCAAACTTTTGCAGACGCCATTTTTTTGTTTTCTGTTATTTTGAAAGTGTAAATGATGGAAATAAAATCTAACTTTTGTTGACATATTTTAAGAATGTCTAATCTGTAATTTGATGCCTTTTGGAGATTTTTCCATCTTTCCTTGGCTTCTTTATGCACATTAATACAAATTTTTAGCTGGGGTGCTCAAACTTTCGATCCCCACTGTACTACTGCTGTCTTAAACCCGAAGTCTAGTGTTTGTTTCAAACAGAGACTTTGCCATAGATTAGCCTAAAGAATACCTGAATTCCTCAGTTGTACATAGTTCTTGTTTTTTGAGTATCCCACCTAATTCCCTTAACCCTATCCAAGTTCTCCAAAAAAAAACACCCCTAGACTGGCCATTGAAGAAATGTGTGAATGAGCCTATGTGCCTAGCTTTGAGGCAAAGCTATTTGGGAAGACATGGACAGTATTCCTGCAGCTCCATCAGGGTCAGACACCCTCCTGCAGCACCTCTTCCAAGTCTTATACTAATTGTCCCCACTCAGCTAAAATCTTTGCTTTGCAACCAACTCAGGGCCACACAGCTTCTTCTTTAAAGAGCCTGGTGTTTTGGTGGTTTACAGCCTTCCATTAAAGCGGAGCGCCACCCAAAAGGGGACGTTCCTACTTTAAGCCTTTGTTCTCCACTCCCCATTAAAGATTGGCACCTTTGGGGAGCGGGTACCCGAATTTGACAGGTACTCGCTCCCACTTCCACTGCGATCGCCTAGACAATTGGAAGCGGAAGTTGTCCTCCCCCCTGTCTCCCCATAGTCTTCTGGGACATGTGACAGGTCCCAGAAGACTACGGGACCACAAAGCATTTCTCGCAGTGGGCACCCGGCTGTGAAGCTGCAAGCTGTCACAGCTGGGTGCCCTTATTGAAGATGCCGGCACTGGGGAGAGAAGACGGCTTGCGAAACGAGCTGTGGTGAGGACACCGCTGGACCGAGGGACAGGTAAGTGTCTGTATTTTAAAAGTCAGCAGCTACAGTTTTTGTAGCCGCTGACTTTTATTTTATTTTTTTTCAGCTGGAACTCCACTTTAAGTGTGAATAGAGATCACAGCACACATGCACGGGAAGAGTGAAGACTTACTGGTATACTGCTTCTCTTTCCCTGTTCTGTCAAAGGCTGGATGTAAGGAGTTAACCTAGCTGTATTGCTTAACTTTACCAAAGAAAATTAGGTCACCAACCTAGCTGAGCTGCCTGAAAAAGCTTTGTACAAAATTACAAATTCTTAACCTCCTAATGCTACCTCTTGGTGGCCTTTTATGTGGGTTTTAATGATCAGGAGGCAGCTTGGCTTCTCTGTCATGTGACTGCTGTGATTGGCTCTCACATGGTTAAGCGCTTGTCCTGCTAGCTCCTAGCCAGAAGCCAGGGTGTTTTTAGCACTTTCTCAGCACACA